GATGGAGAAACCAAACTGAGACTGAAAGCACAGTCTGCCTGTGTATCTTCCTTATGTATCATCTTGGCTGATCTTACTTGTAAATATCGGGGGAGGGAGGGCAGTGGGAATGGGCCATATTTTTTTACTTTTAGATATTAAAGAATATGATGTGGGCCAGTATTGTGGGGTGTCTAGGCTGTTTACCTTCACTGATGCAGTTTTCCCCTCCTGGTTTGTAAATAAGCTCCATTAAATTCTCCCCACACCAGGCTTTCTTGATAAAACTGACTTGCAGTTAGTTCATCATCAATTTTGTTACAGGTCCTGCAGGTTTTCAGTGATAGCCCCGAAAGAGTGACGACGCTTCCTTTGTCGGATGGTGTCTTCAGAATGGAATTTTAAAAATCTTCCATGTGACTGTGCTGACTCTGCTTTGCTGTGGCCGTGCTCCAAGGAACGCCCCTGCAAAGAGACAGGGATGTGCTCTCCTGCCTCAGAGGGGTTGTGGGCGACTGGCACAGAAAGGCTGGCGAGCTGGTCTGCAAGCCTGGTTCCGGTTTCTTCTTTCCTGAAACGCTGCATTGATCAGATGCATCCACCAGCAGGCTGGGACAGGCTTTTGGCGTAAACGTGTTGATTGTATTCTTGCCTTTCCAAACACACTTGGCATTATGTGCTGGGTCACAGCTTGGGAAGTCCATTCTCTCCCTCGCCCAGTCACGTGTGCTTCCCCTCTCCTAAATGTAAAATGCTGGTAAGGTGACAAGCACAGTAATGGGCACATTCTGTCTGCTCTCGAGTGCCAGTCCAGACGGGAGAACAGTGCTCGAGCGTTTTACCTTAGGTCAGTTGTCCTGATGTTCCCCTATTGCAGCAAAGTTTGTCTCAACTGTGGGGCCATGTGTATAATTCAGAACATGTCTCCCTGGAAAAGTAAATCAGCTCGTAGAACGGCTTCTGTTTTGCTTTTCCTTGCCTCTATTTTTTTTTTTTTTTTTTTCAGCCCTTGTCAGTGGAAATGTGCTGTGCTAAAGAGCTGGGGATGGGGAATGAGCATTTCTCCACTGCTGGATCCTTTAAAGCAGCAGTGCATGCTGAGCTGCGGCATTTACCTGCGACGGCCGTGCATGAGGCAGGCTGATAAACTTGATGTTTGAATTGATGCTGTGGTTGAAGCTTCTCCTTTGGCTCCGTGGCTTGCCTCTGCTGATGCTACCGCATGAGTTTGGAGCCATTTCTAATGGCACTGTCCTGTGATGTGAGTTTGCTGCCTTCTGGAGTGGAGGAGGGAAGGGAACAGTGGACTGATGCTTTCGATGTTGAGAAACAGGCCTGCTGTTGGAGATGCAGATGAGAGATTCGTGCTATGACAGCAGCATCCCTCTTCCCAGAATGTACTGTCCTGCTGTCACCTAAAAATGCCCAGCACGAAGGGAGATGGTTATCTCGGTCCTCATGCTTGACTAGGTTTCCACAGCCACCTCTTCAACTCAGTATTGTTGCATTTCAGGCAAAGCATTTCTATTTTACCATTGTTGGTGTTTTTGTAAGCAGCCGTATTTTGCAGTGCTTTGTAACATACAGGTATTGAGGGTTTGTAGTGCATTTTAACAGTTAAACTTTAGCATTCAGTAGCAAATCATTCAGGGTTTTACCAAGCCTGTTGCCCGAGGAAGTGAACAGATAGCCCCCGGACACTGTGCTTGTTACTTTTCACAGGAAAGCATTTGGAAGTCTTTTTTTTTATTCTAAAAATGCTCTTTGCTAACGTGGTTCCAGCGCTTGTCTAAAGGCCGTGTTTCAGCTCTTTTCTGCTTGCAGCGTTGTAAAACATTGTGCGTTGTAGCATGAAATGTTTAAGAAAAAGAGGACCAAGGGACTGATCTAGAAGGACACATACTCTAAGAACATCAGTGGCTTTCTGGAGGGAAAATAAATTGTACAAGTTTGTGCACAACACAGCAGTAATGCTCAGTTCAGAATTGAGACTGAATGCTTTCCCAGGGCTGATTGCCGCCCACACAGGCAAAGACTCTTTCTTGGTTGATGCAGCGCCGTGTGTTTTCCATCTGCCTTTAAGAGAGGGAAATGAGCCAAATACTGTCAGGAAACTTGAGCATTGCGTGTTTCTAGAAGGTTAGAAAGGAAAGGTGAATAAAGCTTTTTAGCTACGTGTTTCTCTAAAAGTATTGGGACTGCAATTCCTGTGCTCTTCAGGGCAGCCAGCTGATCAGAAACGGGCCTCATTGAAAGCAGCACTCCCGGGTCTAACAGAGCAGGAAAGCCTGTAAAGTTTATAAAGCCAAGCAGGAAACATTATTCCCTCCCCAAATTTGACATTTAAAAGATTAATTCCTCCCCCTGCCAAATAAGCAGTGCTGGCGGCAGAGTGCACCTGCTTGGGCTGTAGGAGACTTCGGGTGTAATTCTCTTCTCCAAGTTAGTCTTTGAGAGTTTTGAGGCTCCCAGGTCCTTGGCTAAGTCCCAGCCTCTGCCCTGGGAGACACAGGAGCAATTGAGTGAACAAATTTGGGAGCAGCAGCATATCTTTTCCAATGCCTCTTGACTATATTTGCACTTTAAGAGACTTCACCGTGGTTTTGGGTCAGGGGCTAGGATCCTGGTGAGCCTTTCAGAAACTGGTCTGTGTGGTCATGAGCTGGTGTGGGGAGTTTGACTCCCGGGTGGTGTCTGCCGGGTGAGTGTAAATACATAAAGTCAAATTATGCTTTGTCACAAAATACTACGTATGTGGAGAATTCAATGTTGTGGCTGTTAACAATAAATATTTTGTAGAGAGATCACCGAGTGCTGTAAATTCTGCGTTTGTCCGGTGTGATACAACTTGCTGGTTTCTTACAGGGGGAATGGGAAGATTTTTTTTTTTTGAAGGCCCCTTCGTTTTGGACAGTCAGAAGCTCTGTAGTGGAAATTGTGATGCTCTGAAGCTATCCCTACATGAACTGCCCATTTTAAGAGGCTTTTCTTGCCTAGGAATGTATCCGGATAGGGAAGCAGTCTTGTGACGGCTGCTTGTGGAGGTGTGGTGCCCTGGGCAGTGGTGTTCACAGAAGCCTGTGGTCTGGATGGAAGAGCTGAGCCTTT